GAAGCAGCCTGAAATCGCGCTCCACGGAGCAACCTTCTCAAGTGTGTGTGTGTGTGTGTCCACCCCTGGACAAAGGGTTTTCCACCACCACCTTTCACAGGCAGGGGGGGCCAGGCCTGTCACATCCAACCTGGCCCAACGAAGCTAGGATGTGACAGGGGAAGCACCAAAGGACGCTTTGGTGTGTACCTGCCACACAACTTTTGCACAAGCTGTTTACCCCACTCTTCCGCGTGTTGTTTCATGGTTCTTCATGTATTCCACCCCACAACAGGTCTCAGCCGCTTATGAACTGCAGCCAGCCGCGCGAGTGAAACATTTTTTCAACAATTCAAGTTACCGGACTTTTTCGCCTTGCGGTTCTTCACCTTCCTTCCCATCGGAGAAATTGAGCTAACTGAATACAATTGTCGAAGTGTGGTCACCGCCTTTCTGGATTTGGAGCAGCACTGCTTCCCACCGGGAGGCAGCTGAGAGGGTCTCATCGAACGCGGCAAAAGAGATGGATAGTTGCAAACCTGCAATGGGCGTGTTGTCACCTGGCACCTGCAAGGCCTCTGTGACAGCAAAAGGATGTAAAAGGTGTTTTCATAGCTGCGCTAAGTTCAGCAAACTGGATGGGCTTCAATGATTGCAGATCAAACGGTCAAAATGAAGTTGCCTAGGTGCTCTGGTCCAAAAAAAGGAAACAATATCAAATAAACCCAAAAAAATCCAAATAACAATTCTCCAATCTTGATTGATTGTGAAATAAAGCTTGAAAACCGCCAACCAGTGGCCTGCAGCATGCTGGCATGTCGAGGCTGTCCAGAATCAAACATCAAGTGTTGGAACAGCTGTGGGCGCATGCCCACCGCCGCCGCCAACAGCCTGTCCGCGAATCTGAGGTTTTGAGGTTCATGATAGGTTCATGCTGCATGCTTGTTTGGGGTTGCTCTACCCACCTTGGTAATCCTTCAAGTTCCACCCTCTCTGATTGGATTGGATGCTTCTTCAGGTCTTAAGATCTCATCGATTGTCCACCAGTGGGCTGTTGCCCTCACGTGAGGCCGTAACCTCGCCAAGTGGCATGAGGACTGCTTCGGAGAAGCCTTCCAGTGCGTTGAAGGCTTTCAGCAAAGCGGGCCGCAGGCCGCGTGCGCACGCGTCGCGCGGCCAAATGTTAGCCGGAAAGAAGACCTGTCCTCAGCTGCAGGTCTTCAAGGCAGCAAAGAAAAAGCATGGCAACGGTCTAAGTGATGCCCAGCAGGTCCAAATGACTTGTTTTTTGTTTCGATCTTTTGGTCGAGGAGATGCGTGGGGTGGACAACACGCCGGCGCTTCCGGACCATCCGATTGTTGCCTCTACTCTCAAGTAGGCCACCTGGAAGAGCTTGGCAGAAGGTT